GCATGTGCACACCACTGAACTGTCGATGCACTTATATTACAAACTGTGTCATTATATGTGTCTTTGTGGTGAATGTGTTTTTTATTTTGCTGCAGTCATGTGTGAAGTTCAGAATTGCCGTCAGCATTTTTGTGTTCATTGTGAAATTGTTACCGGGTCTTTTAATTCACAAATTTGATGTTGATTCACGGGATATGTATGGGAAGAGCAGGTTCCATGGTTTTCTTCATCATGTGAAATAAACTATAATTAATACCGCATTAGATATACCTAAGATTTTTTTCATTTCGGTTAAATTAAAAACTTATATTATGACTTTTTTCATTCTTCTCAGTTTGCTTTGAGTATACCCCACAAATTTCCAGTATAGGAATAGTGAAATTTTACTACCAATATTTTAATATTTATCAACTACCCCACTAGGTGATTTACTGGTACAGTAGAATGTTTTCATATCACCCTTAAATGATATTACAGGACAATAAAATAACATCTATTTGTGATTCTGTTGGAAGGCAACTGTTGGCTGGACTTTTGGCCTTCTAGATATGTTCAGTAGTTATAATTTATACCGATTTGATAGTTAGTCCTTTACTACAGTAAACCAGAACCCCAAATATACACTGAAAAAAAGGGCATGTGCATTTTAAATTCTCTTTATCAAACTATTTCAGAATATATTTTCTTTTAAACTTAGATGAATTTAGAACTGAGTTCAGACTTGGTAATTTGAGTGAGTAATTTTTAATATATTGATGGTTTATTCTTTTCTTTCACTCTGATCATGTAAGTGTTGCTTCTGCCAAAAGAACGTCTTGGCACTTTAAGGTGCAGCATGATGTTGGCACTGAGCCGCATATAATATGGAACCAAAATGACATACATAATGATCTGCAAAACCACTGAAATTAAGGGAAATATAACAATACTGCTGATAAATTCTGCCTATGCTTATTTATAAAATCATGTTTCATGATTTTGACATATTACTGAAAGATGTATGAAAGGCAAGTTTTATTAATTGGATGTGTTAATTTCTGTGGCCTTCTAATTAATTTTATTAAGATATCAGCTGATAAACAATTATGTATCCTGTTGTATAAACAGTATCCTTGCTGTATAGTAATTAAGCATTGAAGGCTTTTCTGTCTCTATATGATTACACATTTTTGTATGTGTGTGATTACAGAAATACAGGAAAAATTTTGCATCATGTAGGCATAAAGCCTACAATCAATAATAGCCAGACAAAACAACAGTACAAGCAGAAAATCACGGGTCGTTATCTTATGTATTGTGATCTGTGGTATTACAGAAATGTCACCTGCTGAGGTAGTTTGGTAATTCTTACTGTTTAGATGTCCGCACAATGTTACTGCTAAAAGTCTATCGAACAATCTTAAAGCCTTTCGTAAAATGTTATGTCTTACATTGAAAGATTTTCCAGACAATACCGTGTCTGACATTGTTAACTTTTCATTCAATGTAAATTTTCACACGGTGTTTTTTCTTTAATACAATGTTTTGTGTGACATTGCAAGGATTTCATACAATGTTGTGCCTTACATTGTAAGTCTACCATACAATGAAGAAAGGCAGCAATTACATCTTCAGGCATGGTCTAGTATGTGTTTTGCGGCTTATGACATATGAACATTTCAGGGAGAATAAAATACATACCTCAAGCTGTTCAGATGACTGTACAGGCCCCAGGGGCCTCTGAACATCTGGCCATGTGCAAGATAACACCATAGACAGTAGGTACACCTTGTTTTTGTTTGAATGTGTTATCACATGACATCACAGCATACACATCCTGTTGTTGTTTGTAATGTTCAGTGTTTAATTCAGCCTGAAGCAACACTCAATGACCTGTAATGCACTAACCTTCATAAGTTTAGTTTTCTAACAATATATAAGAAACATATATAGTTCAGAAGAAAGAGACTTTCGAGTCTTGCCTTTGAACAAAATGGTAAAATTATTAGTTCTTCTTGGGAATTCTTTTAAAATATCATGCAGCTACACCTCCATGGTTTCCCAAATTAGAAATATATGTATCACTCAGCAAATTCATCATTGTTAAATCAAATCATTTTTGAAGGTTTGTGTTAAGTTCAGCTTTAAAAAATATGTCAGTTTCTGTGTAGTATTTTCAAAAAGGGTTTTGTCATGCTGCCGTAAAGTAGTGTTATGTTTGACGTAATGGCCGTGGGTTAACTTCAGGCATAAACCTCTTTATTTGTTGGGTTTTAATTTGTCTCTTGATTCTTAACCAAATGTTGACAGTGACATTTTGGTCTTCGGTTCGAAGGTGAACATTTGGAATGTGAACTTTTTGAGTTTAAAGTTCAGAAATTGGAACTTGACCTTTTCTAAGGGTTAGTGATCACATGAATCGCTTAAAATATATGTACATAAACAAGTATATAACCATAGTCACTTGTTTCACCATATGTACACCAGATAAATTCTCTTAGTGAGTAGGAAATTATTATCACGGATTTAGAATCAGTCTTAATGATAATCAGATTTTTGCCTGTAAAAACTATTGAAAAATAATTAGATGACAGAATTGAATAGTTCAATATATCTGCTACAAAACACATGGACTTCCTTTAGGAACAGATCTAGGACCAAAGACAACCAGGACATCGGTTCTTTTGCAGATACAAAATATAGATTCACCAATCTTAGAACTGGAGATGGAAATTATATATACTACGTTAAATTTAAACTTACTGTAAAATCACTGGTTTTTGTGAGAGATTTATTTTTCTTTTTTTTTTTTTTTTTTTGTACTTTTCATCCACGAATGAATATGTCAATGAACTGTTAAGGTAAGCATAAGTGAGTATTTTTTAAGTCTTTATAGTATTTTTTTTCAAAACCATGAAAATTTAGTCATGGTTTTATAGTAGTATTCTTTTACTAATATTCCCTTTCATTCTGACATAAATTTACAGAAGCCCTGGGTTTTATTTAGGATAGGATTGGTAATAGGCACAGCCATGACCTTGACCAAGTTACTTTATAGCTATTTGCTGTGTTATTTATAGCTATCCAGGCCAGAAATGTGGGCTATTTCTGTAACTGTTACACCATGTAGCCCAGCCCTAGACATCATTGTGTATCCAGCATTGTTCATCAGTGAGCTGAATGGTCCTTGCACAGTATATATTTCAACATAAGCCAAAAATTTATCATTTCATCATAATCTCTCAAAATAATTTTCAGGTTGGAATTTATCTACAAAATCATGGTTTATCTGCTTAATTATCAATAATTTACGTATTTGCTGTTTGTGGAAGATATTGCATGAATTTGTCTGTTTCAAAATCTGACATGTGATGTGCATACTGCAGAGACCAGCTCTCCTGTTGTAACTATAACCTGTTGTAAGCTACAAAGAAAAGGAGCAGTGTTTAACAGCGGGATCTGCTGTTTGTTCTTCTCATGAACAATAATTTATATATATATTTTGAGAGACTATAAGAACTTCCACAACTATTTTTTACCTCTAGTGACTCTACCTTTGGTGATACAGATAAACTCTGACCAACACCACATTATTGTAGTATCTACTACGATCTGAGAGAAGTTCAAAAATGTATACAGGATCGGAATTATGGCTCTCTTTGTATTAATGATAAGAGACAATGTATTATTTACCCTAGAAACAAACAGCTGTTGTGTGTTATAATATCATTGACCTATTATGGTTTCCTACTGATAGTGGACTGGTGAAGACTGGAGTTTTAGGATCCGTTACATAGACTCCAAACACTACAGATGAATGGGAGTGGCCTGGATCAGAAACACCTCAGAACGTTTTTAGACTAATTTATAAGTATGAAGTAATCAAACTGTAAAATTGTAGGGTAGATACTGGATTAAAACTCTAGCACACAAAAAGATTTTTGTGGACACATGATTTGACTGAGTTGACCATTAAATTGGTCAATTTCAAAATCAGTTATGTCTTGTTAAAAAAAAAATTACATTTCAGTGAAGTGTTTATTTAAAAGAATTACTTTATCTGGAAATGAAAATCAAATTTTCTGTTTAATGTTTGTTCACAATAGCCGACATGTTGTAGATGATTCACGAACAGTTTTAAGATGTTCACTGTTAAGAAAACTTTTGATATTTAGCTTGGATACCCAGTGAATCATACTGTGTAGTCCTGATTATTTACCTGCACAGGTAATAAAAAGTTCATTTTTAACCAATGGCTGTGTTTTATCTGGTGAAGAAAGTGGTGTATGCATTGTTGGCAAACATTGAAAGAGATTGAGGAATGCCCACGTCACCTGCATATTTGAGGATTAGTGGAATGTGTTTGGAGGACTTGGCACGCCAGCTGGTTTACTCTATAGACATTCATCAGATAGTATCCTGTACATTATGTTCAACGTCAGCTGGTGAAGTCATAGGGGATAGAGGGTTATGTGCCGTCTCTTTAATAAGGGTTTTAAGGTGTAACCCATACAGTAGGACCATTAGTACCGATGTACTGGTAGAATGACAAGAGTCATACATGTACCATCTTGTCCTCTCATCTTACGAAAGTTAGTAAATTTACTTGTCTGAACTTCAATTTCTCATCACATCCTGAATCCTAGTCATCACAGACTTTGATCATAAAGGGCAACCATGTCAGTAACTCTAGAGAGCTACAGGATTCTTAAGGTCAAGGTCATTTACTATTGATGAAAAATCAGGCCAGGTTGCTGACCTCATTCTAATGAATTTATTACTTTACAGAGGTCACTTTTTCTCTCTCTCTCACTTTTTTTTTTTGTCAGTATTACACATATATAACTTTGGAGGAGGGCAATAAGTTTGTCACAGGTGTGCTACCAAAGATTGTGTACTATTTAAAGTCAGACATGAAGGAAACCTTTTTTAATTAATTTATTCAAGAAATAAACAGAAAAATTCTTCATTACTTTTTAATGTAAAAATCATTTCTAAACATCTTTTTTTTATGTTTGCAGGGAAATGCCACATTACATCTGTATCCTCATTTTGAACCACTGCGACAGATTGAAGGTATGTTGTTTAACGTATTGGTATTACTAGCAGTGTAGTGATATATGTGAGCTGGGTTTTTAATAAAGCCACTGATATGTCAGTGCAGAGCGTAGAAACAGAGCCTGATGGTAATTATCTTTCCCATCAGAATGTTATATATTTAAGGTAATGCTGAATCCTGTCATCAATTAAATAAAACTCATGTTCTCAATTTTTTAAAATTTTTTAAAATTATGATGTTCATTTGAAATTAACTTTTCTCATATGCTGAAAGGTATTAATCATAAATAACAAATGTAAAACGTGTTTCACAAATACATAGATGAAATAATTTACTGGATATATTAAGTAATGCATGTAAGTGTGCAAAGTATAATGGTAAACCTCGTGTTATTCAGGATTCACGGTAATGCAGGCAAGACTTTTAAGCTGTATAATGGCAGGAAAATAGGAAGCCAAATCAATTTGAAAAACAAGACATTAGTTTTTGAATTTTTTCTCTCCAATCTAATGTCTTCATTATCTTAAACTTAAATAAAACATGAGGTGAAACACTGACAAAACTCTACAATGAAATCAGAAAGCTGGTTGTGGATTAAGGGAAGACCAGGTCGGTCACAGATAATGATTTAACAACTGATTGACAGCGAAACATGTTTTTATCTGCTGTTTGACATGAGCTTCCTGATTCAGGTACATTTAGAATTAAATATATATATATATCTATTTTTTTACTGAGTTGATAGAATGAAAAAAATCCTTATGAAGGAAGAAATACACCATTGAAATGTGTTTTTTATGTTAACTTGTATATGTTAAATTTACTTCATATGGACAACAGAAAACAAATTGGTATATTTGACCCGACACTATGTGCTAGTCATTTTATTGTTACTCATACAAGGAAGAAGTAAAATCAGCATAAAACCGAGTGTATTTTATATCAGCAGATCTTAGATTATTTATTGCCGATTCAGCTTTTTACCCCACAGCCCGAAAGGGTGTGGGGTATTGCGTCTGTCTGTCTGTCCGTCCGTCCGTCCACAATTGCATACCGCTTATTATCTCAAAAACTACATCACCGGTCATCACCATTTATTCACTGGGGATGTTGGGCCTATGGACCTATACAACCCATTCTTGAGATAACTTTCCACTTGCCCCAACCACACATTTCCAACTTTATAATAAGGCTGTGGGGTATTGCCGGCGTTTGCGGAGCTATTTTTACAATTATATAGATACAAATACTGATCAATATTTTGACGTTCCTTAAGGTACACATGACACAACATTTTTTAAACGATGAATCAAAACACTTTTTTTTAAGGTTCTGTAAAAATAATTCCAAACCTGCACAGTTAATATTTGAAATCAGATTTATTAGTTACCCTTGAAGACCATGAAGTAGCTAACTTGGCTTCTGACTAGTCATTGAAATTATGGAACATTAAGACCATTAGATCATGTGACATGTTTTTGTAGACTTTGTGTAATAGGCCAATGAAGATCTTGCTATTTGAGTTAGAGTTTATGTGTTGTCCCCTAGAATAACTGGAGGATGAATACTTTAATTTATTTGAATGCATCATTATGATAACAAAATCAGTGGTAAATCCTGGGACATCATCAGTTTTTGTTGTGAAGCTATGCTGACACCGGGGTAGCTTAAACAGATGACACAGCAGTTACGTTGACACCTCATTACTGGGAAGCTTAGACACAGGACACAGCAGTTATGTTGACACCTCATTACTGGGAAGCTTAGACACAGGACACAGCAGTTATGTTGACACCTCATTACTGGGAAGCTTAGACACAGGACACAGCAGTTATGTTGACACCTCATTACTGGGAAGCTTAGACAGATGTCACAGCAGTTATGTTGACACCTCATTACTGGGAAGCTTAGACAGATGTCACAGCAGTTATGTTGACACCTCATTACTGGGAAGCTTAGACAGATGACACAGCAGTTATGTTGACACCTCATTACTGGGAAGCTTAGACAGATGACACAGCAGTTATGTTGACACCTCATTACTGGGAAGCTTAGACAGATGTCACAGCAGTTATGTTGACACCTCATTACTGGGAAGCTTAGACAGATGACACAGCAGTTATGTTGACACCTCATTACTGGGAAGCTTAGACAGATGTCACAGCAGTTATGTTGACACCTCATCCTTTTGTAGCTTAGATGGAGGACACAGCAGCTGTGCTGGCAGCTCATCATTGGGTAGCCTTGGAAATGACACACAAGCTGCCTGATGAAGAGCTGTCCTGCCTTGTTGCTTTTTCTACAAAGTTCATGATATCCAGGACATAGATGGCAGATCTATGAAAAAAGAATGCACAACAATAATTCAACAACTTTGAGGAATAGAGCATTTTCCTGAGTTTCTTCAGTTCCTCTTGCTTGAGACAAAGCCTTTCATACTAGAGTTTACTTAACACTTCAGGTCCTCTTGCTTGAGACAAAGCCTTTCATACTAGAGTTTACTTAACACTGACGTCCCTCTTGCTTGAGACAAAGCCTTTCATACTAGAGTTTACTTAACACTTCAGGTCCTCTTGCTTGAGACAAAGCCTTTCATACTAGAGTTTACTTAACACTGAAGTTCCTCTTGCTTGAGACAAAGCCTTTTCTTACTAGAGTTTACTTAACACTTCAGGTCCTCTTGCTCGAGACAAAGCCTTTCATACTAGAGTTTACTTAACACTGAAGTTCCTCTTGCTTGAGACAAAGCCTTTTCTTACTAGAGTTTACTTAACACTTCAGGTCCTCTTGCTTGAGACAAAGCCTTTCATACTAGAGTTTACTTAACACTTCAGGTCCTCTTGCTCGAGACAAAGCCTTTCATACTAGAGTTTACTTAACACTGACGTCCCTCTTGCTTGAGACAAAGCCTTTCATACTAGAGTTTACTTAACACTTCAGGTCCTCTTGCTTGAGACAAAGCCTTTCTTACTAGAGTTTACTTAACACTGAAGTCCCTCTTGCTTGAGACAAAGCCTTTCTTACTAGAGTTTACTTAACACTGAAGTCCCTCTTGCTTGAGACAAAGCCTTTCTTACTAGAGTTTACTTAACACTTAAGTCCCTCTTGTTCGAGACAAAGCCTTTCATACTAGAGTTTACTTAACACTGAAGTCCCTCTTGCTTGAGACAAAGCCTTTCTTACTAGAGTTTACTTAACACTTCAGGTCCTCTTGCTTGAGACAAAGCCTTTCATACTAGAGTTTACTTAACACTTAAGTCCCTCTTGCTTGAGACAAAGCCTTTCATACTAGAGTTTACTTAACACTGAAGTTCCTCTTGCTTGAGACAAAGCCTTTCATACTAGAGTTTACTTAACACTTCAGTTCTTGCATTTACGTAGTTGTCATGATTGTGTTTCCCTAGAGAACCTCCTGTTGCATTTTCTCCAAGTATTATTTACTTTATTTGGTGCCCTAAAGTCACATTTATGAACCCATAGTTTCAGGTGACTGAAGAAAAACACTTGTATAGATGATGTATTTCTTAATGCCTAGCATATGCATTGAAAATTCATATGAAAAATGCCTTTTTAGGTCAGACCTCTGTACATTTACGTAACACTTATGTGTGTACTTGTCTGAACTCTTCAGTATAGGAGGTACTCGTGACCAGGCAAGTTCTTTGATAAGGTATATCAGTAGCTTGCAGTAACACTTAGAGGATGTGATGTATGTCAAGAGAGTAATTGACCCAGGGTTTGTGTGACATTTTAGATCTTCTGAATATACTGTTTATAAATTGTGATACTGGCGTCTACTCACAATAAAAGTGATATTTTGTTACTTCCTAAGTTTCATAATCACTTCCTCAGTTGTAGTCTCCATAATGTCTGATTTGATACTGCAGCATGTTTGTTGACATTGGGTTTATGACAGATATGTCACTGATGGTATTTCATATTTTTTGAAATATTAAATCTCCATATTAATTGATTCTTATGTACATATGTAACCAGTCATACACACTTTATTTAAAGGGTGTTAGGGAATGAATAGGGAGTTTTTTTATCCTCATCTGTGTGTCCCACCCTGTCTTTAATTGGTGTTCAGCTAATTCATTTCTTAGGGATACAGAATCAACCTCGATACACTGGTCAGTTGTAACACTGGTCAGTTGTTGGTCAGTTGTAATACTGGTCAGTTGTTGGTCAGTTGTAACACTGGTCAGTTGTTGGTCAGTTGTAACACTGGTCAGTTGTAACACTGGTCAGTTGTTGGTCAGTTGTAACACTGGTCAGTTGTTGGTCAGTTGTTGGTCAGTTGTAACACTGGTCAGTTGTATTGAATTAACTTTGTATCATTTTGTGTTACCTGCGGTCATGGGCACCACTGCTGTTTAAAAAGAATCAACCAATTCACTGTCTTTATCGTAAGTGAAAACGAATTGTATTTAATTTTCTGGGCCATTATTGAAATGAAATTTGAAAGTCTAGAATGACTGCATTTTATAATGAAGTATCTGATTGGTTGTACATGTCAATAAACATGAATTCAATATCGACAATGAGGAAATGCAATCTACCATAAAGAGAGGAAGGTGACATTTATAGTAAAATAATTTTAATAAGATGATTAATCTTTGTGCATGAAGATTTTTTTTTTTTTTTTAACATGGAATTAATTCAATTATAGAAAATATTGTTGTTCATGCTTCAGTGCAATTTCATACCACAGGTGTAGACACTTTAGTAATATTAAGGTTTGGATCCAGCAATCTGGGATTGATCCCTTCTTTGTCACCATGTATGTTTTATTGAACATGAAAAGATTATGTTTTATTGAACATGAAAAGATATTACACAATCATATAATGTTTGATATTAGGACCTCTTTTCTAACTTCTTGTTTGTTTTGGTGTTGGTAGAGTCCGTCAAGCAATACTCCTGAGTTCTTCATAAATTATGGGCTCAGTATTAATTAGTGTTAACCTGAGCAATGTCTCGGCTTGAAAATTTGTTTGAATCTCTACTTTTCGCC